ACTTTGGGGAAGGAGGGAAAGAGATGCTGCCTAGGAAACAGGAGAGGCAGGAGTCCCTGACGGATTATCAGTCAGAGAAAAAAAAACTTAGGAAGGACCTCCCCTAATTGATTAGGGAATTAAATGTGGCAGTAGGAAGTTTGTACTTTCAGAGTTTCAAGAGTCCGTTAATGCAGCCTTGCAATAAAGTAGAATTAGCTCATCTAACAGTGCTTCCTGTGTGGTTTACCCAGGATGCTTGACAGAGTGTCCCATGGTTACCATGTGACTTTCTCTACTGGCTTCTCACAAGGAAAGTCAATGGGGAAGATTTGAAATCACTCTAAATCTCCTTTCCTTCTTTCAGTGTCATTCCTTCTTTCCTGGGCCTCCCTGGATTCGCACGTGCCCGTTGTACTGTTCCCCAACTTAAATGTGACCTGCACCAGGCTTCACAAACCCCATGCGGGACCCTGAACTCCCTACCTCTGGGACTTCCTCCTTAACAATCTGCACATCTGGGGGTTTCAAGACAAACTGGGGCTGCCTGGATTGCTGTTGCTAAGTAGTTCGGTCACATTACGTCAACCTTATGACTGCATCACTTAGCGACGGCAATCCCAGTTCCTTGTAGTTTGAGGACTCCCTGTATGTGTGATTTTAAACTTATTTTTCAGTCTAAATCTTCCTTTAGGAGGTCAGTGTGTCTTCAATTTAGCTTACTTTTCCTTTCAGATAATGTTTTCCAACATTTCTTCGTGAGTTGCCTCTACTTTCTTCCTACCATCCATTCCTGGTTATGGAATGAATCCTAAACGGTGATAAAGCAGTGGATTATTTTGGACTCCATTCTTATTCTTTCAGTTATCTCAAGTTCCTTCAAACCTCCAATATGAGCTGTCGCTCCAAACTCAACTCTGATCATTTCACTCACCCACGTCTTGATTCACACAGGATCTCTACCTCCTTGTACACTTTTTTCACAAAAAAAGTCATACCCAAGCCAACACACTTGTTCAAAATTCCTAAAGGACAATAAAGGCACTCCTGCATCTTTTTAAAATTTACGTTCAACGGCCTACATGTAGGGGATGACCAGACTGAGCCTGAGAGAGGAGTAAAATGCATCGTCAGTCTTTGAGTCCCGTCATGCCCACAAGAGATTTAAGTCCAGCCCACCTTGAATCCTACTGACTCTTATCTGCCAATTTGCTTTGACTGTTAGTAGTTCAGGTTCTTGTAGAGACGGTTGGCATGCAATAAACCTGTGGTCAATTGCTTCCTGTTCTCGCATCAGACACTGCATTTTCCTAGGATAAACATACTGAATGTTCATAAAGACACATTTCAACAAAGACACCAGACTTGTCTTCCCCCGTTCCCATTGGGTGCTTTATTTTTTGTATCATTTGCATTAGGTAAATCAACTGAAACTCTCAACAAGAGAAAGCTCTTAGCAAAGCAAAGGGAAAATAATAAAGCAATTCTATCAAATAGCCACAGCACTATGCTTTTATATTTGGGAGAGTATTGAATAACTGAATCCATATGAGAAAAGGAAGAGTATCTTCTAGCACAGACTGTGAGGAAAAAGGCACTAGTTTAGATGTGTATCTTAAAAAATAATGAGTCACAATCTATATTCTCAAAATTACATTCAATAATGCTTCTGAAATGCTGTAATATAGAAACTATATTTGAGCTCAACAAAACTTCAATATGACAGAAATCCAAGCATCTAAACAGATTTTTTTTCAAAGCAAATATATAAAAATCCCAAAGGCTTTTATTTCTAAATAGGTGCAAAAGGTTACATGAGCTTTAAGATACAGTATATCTTGGCAACTAATCATTGATGACACTTGTTCTGGTTTGAATTTGAGTGATCACAGGATGCCCGCACTTAAGAGCTAATTGGCAGTGCACATTTCAGCAGGTATATCCATAGTAGCACAGATTAGGCACAGAATGTAGAAAATGTTTCCAAGACCTCTTTCAGCTTCAATGCTGGAGAAGTTAGTGTAAAGGCAAATCTTACTGAAATCAGGAATAATGTCCATAATAGGGAAGTAAATATTAGCTGCTTTTGTTTAGATATGCAATCAGTTCTTAAAATGACCACCGACATGTCCCTTATGTAATAGACTTCAAAAATGTTGCTTCTAATAATTTGAGAACTCTGAATATACAGCATTTGAACAAGTTATGTATAAACCCACTGTACATTTTGAAGCACAATTTGCTAGAATTCTGACATTGCAAAAGCTTACTTTACTATGGGCATCAAATTCTGCAAGTACAAGTAGTTCTCGACTTACGACCACAACTGAGCCTAAAATTTGTTGCTAAGTGACACATTTGTTAAGTGATTTTGCCCCCATTTTACGACCTTTCTTGCCCCATTTGTTGAATCACTGCAGTTGTTAAATTAGTCAAATTGTTGTTAAGTGACTCTGGCTTCCCCATTGACTTTGCTCGTCAAAAAGTCACAAAAGGGGATCATGTGACCCCGTGACTCGGCAACCGTCATAAATATGAGTCAATTGCCAAGCGGCTGAACTTTGATCACATGACTATGGAGAAAAGCGTAAGTGTGAAAAGCGATCATAGGTCACTTTATTGCAATGCCATTGTAACTTTGAAGGGTCACCAAATGAACTGTTGTAAGCCGAGGACTACCTGTATATTAAATTAATGTATATTAAAGCAGTTTTGTTCTCCAATGCACAGGATTTCAAAAAGCTGATTCTACACTGTCATCTAATGAAAGGCAAACGGGTGTTCAAATTTGGGCATGTACAGAAACAGCTTAGCAAGAGGCAGTTTTAACCTGTGAAGCAGACATACACAAAGTCTACGCAATAATATACTTTCCACAACTGTGTTTTAATTCTAGAATTGGACACATTGCCCTTTTGCAGGTAAGTTTCTCATTTGTTTCAGGGAAGCAATTCATGAGTATAACTGCACCCCCCACTCATGTGACTCCATCTCTAGCAGGCATGGTGTTTTTGTATAATAATTCACTGGATTTGGGAAATACTACTATAAACATTACAATGTACATATTTCATATATTTGGATTTATAAAATATCTAATCAGAATATCAGTACCCGCCTCCCATTGCCTAAAGATTTATAAAGCACTTCATTCAAGTGGTCCTACTAATCAAATTCTTTAAATGCATGCATTAAAATATTTTAAGGAACTTTACCTTCCAGACTAATAATTATCTTTACTATGGGCTCCACCTTTAAGGAATATACGTTACTTGATATTTAATACAAACTTAAATTGACATTTACAATCTTTTAAAAACCCTGATGAAACAAGTTATGCTTGCTGAAAGATAGAAGGGAAAAGTCAATTCTAACAGTGTAGTATAGTCCTGTGATGGCAAACCTGTGGCATGCAGAACCCTCTCAGTAGGCACGCGTACCATTGGCCCGCGGTCTTCACAGGTGCTGGAGCACCAGAAAATGGGCCAAAAAACAGCCAAAAATGGCCAAAAAGCAGGCCATTTTGGGGGTGTTTTCAGGCTGTTTTTGGGGGGGAGGTCCAAAAAACAGCCTGAAAACGTCCAGAAAAACAAACTGAAAAAGGCCCCCAAAATGGCCCAGAAAATACCACCCAAAACAGCCTGAAAATGGCCAAAGACCAGGCGATTTTCTGGGCCATTTTTGGCATGAAAAATGGCCTGAAAGCAGCCCAAACAGCCTGAAAATGGCCAAAAAACAGGCACGCACACCCGCCAGCTGGTCTTTGCTTTTCTGGTGCTCCGGCATGTGCACCTGCACGCGTGTTCTAGTTTGGGCACTTGGTGCTGAAAAGGTTCGCCATTACTGGTATAGACTATTGAGTCTGAAATATATAAATCCTGTTTAGCTACTATTTGACAGTCTTTGATAATCAATGTTGTTTTGGTAGTTTCTCTACACCATCCCCATTTTATTTTTAAATTTTAAAAAGTTGTTTCAGAAAAAGTACATGTGTAGTTTTGATCAAGAAAAACAACAAGTAAGGTGCTTCTTGAGCCCACATATTTAGCATGAAGGAAAAATGCTTCTACTCACAGTTAGGAGAAGATTATTCAGTGATCTTCTTTATAGAGTGTCACAATGGAGGACTCCTAACAAAGAGTTTTTTCAGGAGACCCAATAATTGAAAGATTGCAGAACTTACAGATCCTAATACAATTCAGATATAACACGAAACTAGGCTCCTCATGATCCCTCATCTAGTTCCATACATGTAACCAACTTCAAACCATGGTTACAGGTGGCTGGACAATTCATTTATATAGACGACCATGTAATTTTAATGTAGAGGTAACAAAAGATCCAATTTGTGTTGGCTGTTCTCTTCAGAATCAGTTTAGAATTATGCCCAGAAATTATTAGGAGATGAAAAAAAGAACTTAACTATGATTTGCTCCAATATTTGAAGGATACCAGACAATTCTTATATTGTCAATCCTACATGCAGAGCCACTACTCATATTTTCCCTGAAATGCAACCTATTATCTACAGTGATATGTCTACATACCTATTAAAATGCCATGTTTTTGAGATGTAAAGAAATCAGACCAAGATAAATATTTCAGAATTTTGTCTGCCTTTAATATAATATATAATGTACAATTTAAGTGAAAAAAACACTGAAAACTTTTAGGAGGAAAATATTTTTAAAACATGGCCACTTCACCATGCACACACACTTATAAATAGGGATGTGGCTGTGTTCAGAATTAACCTAACTCATTCAAATTGACATTAGATAGCAGTCAGTACACACTTGCCATCAATTAAAGTGATTCTGATCAAGCTCATATGAAGTTCAGCTGTTGTAGGATTTCTCTGACATTTACTCTTACAGCAAAAAATGTGCCTGTCAAGAGTTACAAAGCATCAAAAAGATCTTATTGCACTACATGTGACAACAATCTCCTGTATTCTTCATAGTGTGGCCTGTGGGATTAGGGTGGCAAGAAGGAAGCCTTTCCCTCCCCTCCTTTTTTCCCCCTACAAAGGAAAACATCTAAGCCCAGCTACATTTTGCAAAAACTACAGTACACCAAGTCTGGCAAAAAAAAGCATGCAGGAAAATGTGTTATGGTCTGATGAGACTAAGGTTGAATTTTGGGGCATAATTTGATCAAATTGGACAGATTTGAAACACTTGTGTAAGAAAGTGTGAGCAAAGATTTCCAAAGCAAGATGGGCTATACTGATAGGTTCCAATCCCAGAAGAGTGAATGTTGTCATAAAATCCAAAGATGCTTGAACAAAGTATTAGTTTAAGAAGGCACAGGCTTAAACAACCATATTACATGGTTTCTCCCCGCAAAAAAAAGATTTCAGTTTGTTTTTGAATTGAATTATAACAGCTTATACGTTAAAGGGGAAAAATTCTGAAGTGATTTATCTTAGTCTTATTTTTTTACATCTCAAAAACATTTGAGATGACATTTTGATAGGGGTGTGTAGAATTTTTATATCTGCTTTATGTGCAGTAAAGGAGAAAAATCTAGACTTTATACTTGTAATTATTTCAATAATTACAATTTTTTTAAAATGTTAATTCTACAATTAATAGCCTTTCCTGGAACACCTTATAAGTATTCCAGAACAAATTATATTGTAAGTCCTTATTGGGTGATGGATTATCAATACAATCTGAAGATGCCAATCCATGCCAATTTCTATTCTTGATTCCCTGATCTTGATAGGGAAGATTTGAAGACAAACTTTCTCCACAAAATAGTCTTACTTCCACATGGATAAGGGCATGTAGAATTGAGCTGAAACATATTCCTATATAGATCTTTCATAATTACATTTTTAAAATTCTGGAATAAGTTTAAAATCCTCTAGTCATTCCAGTAAGACATTTCAAATCAAGCCTGAGTTTGACATAGTTTTTTGTTCCTGTATGCCCATGTTTACAATTATATTCAAGATTAAAAATGAGACCTCAGCCACACTGAACGATACTGCCCTATCCCTCCTCCATAAAAGTATCTTATTTGTCCTTGTTATGTATTTCATCTCTCCCCCACAAAAGGCTCAGCTAAACTTTCTGTGAATTCTAAATGGAATATCCAGAAACAGCAAGTAATTAGAAGAAAAGTATTTAGGGAACAAGTAAGTCAATTATAGTAGCAAAAAGCAGAGAATGTTAACTAACAAGAGATAAGGTGGTTCTTTAAAGATCAAAGCTCTGACCACCCTCTCTTTGACTGCTAAGATTCAAACAGTTCTGCTTTAAAGATTCTTTCTAAATGAATAGAAATTGGCCTTTTAAACTATGCTTTTAGTTGTGAAATAAAATCATAGTCAAACAGCCTCCTCTAGGAAGATAATTCATTAATAAAACTTTCAATACTGTTGAAATGTGTAAACTATATCCTGCTTTAATTAATGTTTATAATTTGTAAGTTTGTATCAAATGTTTAGAAGCCCATATTTTACTTTGTAAACATTAAGAGCTTTATTCAATTATTTAAAAGGGAATAAAAGACAGATGCTTTGAAGTGTAAGATGCAATAGCAGTGTTGTGGGTCTCAAAATACTGTGTTTCATTTTAAATGCAATCATACATTTTAATTTTTTCTGCCAATATCTTAATATCACAGCAACTTCTCATACACTTTCTAGCATTAAATAGTCATGAGGAACATTATTTTCCCTAAATGGAGTACTATGGTATCCAATGATATCTCATGAATCCAAATATAATTCATTTATGATTTAAGTTAACTAAACTAAAAGATACACAGCTGCTACAGCTTGCTTTCAAAATGAGCATTTAGGAAATTAAAAAGGGCCTTTTTACCCACTTGCTGTATATTTTACAATATTGCCAGCATAATCATATGCATTCATTCACAAATGAATCCCAATGTGTTCAATTAGGACTTAATCTCAGGTAACAGTAGATATCATTGCCTGAGTATCTAAAATGCACCTGAAGTAATAAAGATACACCTAAAGGCAAAGCAGCTCATGTCTAATTAGTAGACATATACTCTTTCCTTTAAAACACATCCACATAGTGGAGAATCTGCAAGGATGGATATCCCATATAATCTATGCCATGTTAAGGAGAAGGATCCATACTGGGTTTTGGAAATAATTTGCAGTCACATTTATATCTTCACAGTGACGCTAGCTCAGATTATGTTGCACAACCTCTTGTTTTGAAGCAGAACCTTAAATTCTCTTCCCAGCATACAAGAATGGAAAACAGGCAAACTATATAATCATTAGCCTGCACAATCAACATTTTTGTTGGGCTGTCAACATCCATACTCAAGGTTCCTAAGTTTTAATATATTTTAAATAGTCTAGTAAGAATTACTGCATTTCCCCATAACTCATTCAGCTGGACTTAAATGGCCATAAAACAGTCAGACTTATGGTAATATAGAGAAGTAACATAATCAGCACTTGTCAACTAAACAAAAGCACACTGCATAGGAAAGCAGTGCCATTTTAAAATCTCTCTTAAGAACTAGTCAAAGTAAAATATACATAAAGGTAAAAGCTTTACTTAACAGTCTCATTACCTTATTATAACAGTTATCGTGTTTTTGGCATTAAAACATTCAATTATAGATAGAACCTGTTTTGTCTGTATAATAGATACACACTTTTGATAACGTTTTCATCTCAATATATAGCACTCTACTGAATGTGAAATTCAAAGTCTGTTTTTTAACGGATTGTTTTAAAACTCTTCAAACCTTAATGCTATTTTTTTTAAAAAATTCAAGTAGAACTGTGCACCAACAGAGAATTTTAAGAATGGCAAATGTTCATGATTGTTGTTTAAAATCTAGCATTTCAGAATGTTAATTGCTAAACAATTTCATTTATGTTGTAAGGTGCTAACTGTGGCAAATGCAATTTTACTAAGTAACATAAGGCAGTTCAATGAATATACACTGATATCAATTTCTGTTATATCTCTCTTCGCCAGGCCACATGCATCAATTTTCCTTTTTCCTTTCAATCATGATAAAAAAGATGAAGATTAAGTTGTTTTCTGAAAAAAATAAGAGATTCAGGGCAGAAACACTATATTTAAATTTGTTGAGATCACCGAAGCATGTTTCAGTGATGTCCAAGTGTTAATTCAAAGTGGGGTTTGAAACAGCAAATCAGATTGTTTTTTACTTTTCATCCAACAAAATTGGTGCAAAGACACTTTAAACAATTTACTTCTAACCTTTTGGTCCAAATACATAAAATATGCATTATTTACAGCTGCTTTCTCCTTTTGCAAATGCAATGCTTTAAAACACATTGTAAAGCATCTTAGTAAAAATATTCTACTGGTAAAAGTATCTAAATAGGAAAACCCTAACCATACCACAGGCTCACTGGTTGAGTCAGAATATGGATTTGCCAGTAGTTGTTAAAAATACAAAGAATTCATGGAACATTGATACAGAATCCATTATCTGTTTTACACTGAAGTGTAGGCAAAACCTCACTTCTTAAGAGTTTTTCCAATGTAAGACTGAGGTTCAAAAGATATTAAAGAAACACTGAGTGATTTTCAGCCTTTTTTACAATATTACTATAGGATTTGATTTAAAAAAAAACAAAACACTGATGACCAGTTCTAATTTCTTAAAATGAAAATCCATTATTTATAAATTCAGGTACGTCCAGCTGCATCATTTCTTAGAAGGTGAACATCCCAAGGAATGTCAGGTGATATGAATTCACAAGAACAAAGCACAAATGTCCACCAGTTATTTATATTATTCATAAGTGTATACAACCCAAATTTCCATCTTGAACCAACTCCTCTCTGCACTGCGTTAAGTAAAAGAAGCTGTCCTATGAATCAAGAAGACAATAAAAGGAAGTTTTTCACCTAAACTTCAGCTACAACTGGTATGTGCTTAATTTCTGTAAATCTTTGTGCAAGGTCTAGGTAATAACCTTCTTTCAGAATATTAAAGAAACTGAAGTTTAAACTCAGAGGTGATCAAGGTCTACTCTTCAGCTATCTTCTTCCAGCGACACACAGTACACTCTACCGAGCTCAAGATCAAAGCACTTCAGTGGATTTATCGATCATCTACAAATTGGTGCTGAGGACAAGGATGTGACCACAAGGTTTGTTTTCTTAACCTAAAAATATGCATCGTCTTTAGTTTGATTTGGGGTAGATCTTTTCATAAAAAAAGTTTTGTGCCAGAATATATAGCTCTCCATCTTTTTCTCGAACTGCATGGGCTCTGACAAATTGAAATTGCTCAAGAGCAAATTCATAGAACTCATTCTCCATTTTCCAGATTTCAGACTGCTGGAGCTTTGCAATGGTTTCTTTTGTGGGGAGCTTCTTCTCTGTCGTTTTCCTAAGGTGAGACTTTTTACCTAAAAAATAAATAAATCACAATTTCATTGGGTCATCGTGTAAATATTCTCATGACTGTTCAGCATGGACCACAAATTTATGGAAGGATGCACAACATGATTGTTTTAGTCTGTAGGTTTCTAAATGGATATGAAAAGTGACAAAATTTTGACCAAGATTTATTAAGTTTTGGGAAGTGAGTACCAACTTTAAGGGGAAAAAACAAAAAAGAAGTTGTATTCTTGCCACTGCTAAAGAGCTTAATTATTGAAACCATAAAGAGGGGGGTGATTGCAGAAAACTGCATTTCTTCTTATCACATTCATTTTTCTATTTCAATCATGATTAATACTTAATTAGAAATTCAGCAGTACTGATAACAAAACTAATAAAAACACAAAGCAATTTGTGTTTGGGTGACTTGTCATAATATAAATATTTTGTCTTAAAGTATCTTTTAAGACAAGAGGACAAAGTCATTTATTATAGGAATATATCACAAAACTTATATACACTTAACATATAAGCTATACCATATAGTATATTATACTATATTCTCACTATCAAAACTAACTCTTTATGTTCTACTCTCTAGCCATAATTATGAAATAATAATCAAAGTCAGACTACAAACTACAATGAACTTAAAGCAAATAGTAAATGTGGCTCCTATCAAATGGTGTGAAAAATGTTTAAATTCAAAGTAAGGAACTGGGAACAGGCCATTTCAATCATTTGTGGAGTGTTTTAAACTTGAGACACTTCCAACAAGATTAAAACAGTTCATTTCCAATGGAAAATAACTGTTTTCAGCTTGACATGTGGTGTTTCAAATTCCAAATTTGACATACATGCATGCTTTGAAGCACCTTTTCCCCTTTCACTCCCAAGCACTGCACAGCCCTGTTACATATAGCTGGTAACTTAACATTATATTTGCCATCTAGAAATGCAGTCTAATTCTAAAGGTGATCTGGTCTATTTCCTATTTACTATTACCAGGTACGAAGTTTTACTTTCTTTTTTCCAGTAATATACTGATAGGTCCCTGAAAACTTATAGACCTCTTTAAATTAGGATGAAAAGGTTAGGTCTACAGAGCCTGTGGTGGCTCAGTGGCTAAGACGCTGAGCTTGTCATTCAGAAAGATCAGCAGTTCGGTGGTTCGAATCCCTAGCACTGCGTAACGAAGCGAGCTCCCGTTACTTGTCCCAGCTTCTGCCAACCTAGCAGTTTGAAAGCATGTAAAAATGCAAGTAGAAAAATAAGGGAAGGTAACAGCATTCCGTGCGCCTTCAGCGTTTAGTCATGCCAGCCACATGACCACGGAGACATCTTCAGACAGTGCTGGGTCTTCAGCTTTGTAGCACCACCCCATAGAGCCAGAAATGACTAGCACGTATATACAAGGGGAAACTTTACCTTTATTTACAGAGCCTGAAAGACTATGGCAAAGCCATTTATGTTTTATTTTGTTTTCAGCAAAGTAAAATAAAAGATAGATATGTATGTAGATACAAAAGGAAGAACTGGAAAAAGACACTGGTATTATTATAATCTCACTAATAATTGCAAAACTTTCTGTGCACACAACTGTGCCCAGACCAAAATATATATCTTCAGCAGAAATGCTTTTGGAGAATTAAGTGTGGGGGAGAGAGGAGGAGCAGTAAACCAAACAACATTTGGGTAGCATATAGCAGTGACAGGGGAAAATGGTGCTCAGAAGATTAGAAAAGCGGATGGGCTGTTTATGGGTGAAATGAAAGTAGTGCAGGCTAAGAGATGATGTGAAGGGAAAAGATGATGCAGAGATTGGAGAGGCAATCAGGCCAGCTATATGCATCATGGCCAAGCAGCTAAAGGTAACTAAAAAAAGAATCAGGGGAAGATTCAGGGGGAAGGGTGTGGGGGGAAGCAGTGAAACATGCCGCGCTTGAAGCCAAAAAGATAGGCAAGATCTAAAGGAGTATGGACAGAAAAGCACTGAGAGACTGGCGAGGGAGCTAGTCTCTTAGACCAAGCACTGGAAGCCTTCTTCTGCAAAAGAGCCAGAAGCCATGTGCCTCTCACCTTGCCCGCTCCTCTTGGCACTTGGGAGGACTCTTTGGGGGAATATCATACATTGCTTTGTGGGAAAAAGGAAAGTAAAAATAAGAGTGTGTTCTGCAGAGTCTCAGTATGCTTCTGGTAGTTGGAGAAAGTAATGCTTATGGAGGGAGGAGGAAGAGATCTCTGCAGGTATGCAATAAACACGTATGTATATTTGTATACAGATTTATAACCCATTCAAATTGTTAGAATTCATTAAAATAGTCTGGGTCTACACGAGTCTAAGATAAAATTGCTAACTAGAATTTTTTGGTAACAGCCAGGAAGACATGATATTTCTTTTGGAGACTACTGGCTGGATGATTAGGTGTAGCAGGCTAGGTCCAGCCACTTAAGCCTTGGTTGCTGGTCAAGTTGTCTGGCTAAAGTGGAAGAGCAGAGAGGAACATAAACTTTGCCCTACTCAGCCTACAACAGATCAAAATGCTGTGATCTTTCATTTTGCTTTGAATCACACCCCAGCCAATCAATTCAGCAGACTTTACGAAGTGCTATGTATGTATTCTGTATATAAAACACATTTTCAGTTTTATACACAGCCATAATACACAGCTTGTAATTCTTTCAGGAATGGAATAATGAAAATCTCAGAAAAGATGCTGTGCTTTCTCCTAAAAAGAAATGCATACATACAGAGAGACATGATGCAGTTGAGGGGTGATGAAATACCTGTTCGATATAATTCTGTAGCACCCCTGAAGAAGCGAGGCAAAGCTGCCTCCAGCAACATAATGAAGTCTTCAAGCTCTTCAGTAACTCCCACTAGGAAATATTCATTAATCAAGTTGTATTTGGCTTGTTCCAAAGCCCATCTGCTTCCCACATTCCTAAAATGATAAAAAAAGTAATTACAGGATGGTTTTGATGTCTGCCAAGAATTTTGGTTCCCTTCATTTAGATATTCTCACACCAGGCTAAAATAATGGCTAAGCTGTTATTTTTGCTCAGGCAAGAAAACAAAGTTTCAGCCACACACATTTTTAATTTCCTTTGCTTTTTTCCCCTGCTCCCCAGTTTTTGCTCTCTTCATTGCCTAGGTTAGATGTCAAAAGATTTACAGCTCTGATTTCTAACTTCTTAATGGTGCAAATGCCTTTTTAAAATGTGCTATAGAATGGAGAAAGTTTTGCTGTTATACTAAAACAGCCAAGAGTATCGTTTTGAATCAGATGGAAAAAAGATTCAGAGAACATTTGAGTTGTTCAACGGTTTCCCACAACAACCGTAGCATTTTAGTAAGTCTACACTATAAGCAAAAACGAAGATATTTTCTATTATCCTTCTCATCTTTCCTATTATCTCCTACTGTTGGTTTTTTTAATGATTATATTATTTCATTGTTTGTATGTACACTGAGAGTTTATGCACCGAAGACAAATTCCTTGTGTGCCTACACTTGGCCATTAAAGAATATTTCTATATTCTATTCTCTTAAAAAAAAAAATTAAACATTCTGCTGACATTTAATACTCAGAAAGTAGTTGCTCATGCCTTGCACTGAAGAAATTGTCTGAAGAAATGATCATCAACACGTTATATACTAAAAACATTGTTGGAAATTGGTTATACTTGAAGTGACCTCCAGACACTACATGTTTGGAGCATTATCATGACAAACCCTCTTGTTTACTCCTTTTTTCCTTTACTGATAAATTCACAGTGCAGCAAGTTTTTAAAAATGCAATTCAATTGTGCCTATTTCTCTCAGTGAAAATGAAAAATAAGCTTAGCTCCTTGGTCAAATACTTGTTTGTCTAATACCAAAACCTCCACCTTCTCTTAAACAGTTTTTAATCGGGATATTCAATCACTGACATGCCAGTTTAGAAAGGGCAGTTTAGTTTGAAAATGGCATATAATTCTCTAAAGCTTTACTCCTTGGAAGATGAGCTACTTTTATTAATTAAGGCTCACCATCATCACCACCAGCAGCAGCCTGAATTTAAATTTCTGGTACTTGTTATATATAATTATATATATTAATTATATATAATTAAGGATAAATATCTTATGTAGTGTCATATTCTTACCAGCATTCAGAGCTATGCCCACAGAAAAATGGTATTTGAAGCCAGAGTTTCTCCGGAGCACAATCTGAGCCTCCAGCTGCTACACATTCGTCAAAGGTCTAGAGGGGAAAAAACCCAGAGAAACTCAGAAGTAAGTTATAAACTTCTTTCTTGCAGATGAAACTTTTCAATATGATCAAATTGTTAAATAAGGGATATCAGAACAATAGCAAAAGGTCCCATTTCTACAACTGGGTCTGCGTATAACAACTATGCTTGCCAGTCAATCTCTATTGGGTTCCAACCGTAGATACTATTTCAATGATACAGACACTTGAGAAGCAAATGCTATCTGCAGGGATAACAACAGAAATAACTAGAAATGAAAGTTAAAATGGCTCATGGGAATATGGACAAAACATGTTAATTTTAAAAAGTGGATTATTTTATATTAGCAGGAACCAATCTGAATGTACTATAGTTGCTGATTTAAAAGATTGCCTGTTGGTAATCAAGTTATAATATTGCTACTGCAGTAGATGGGGCTAATTTTGAAAGTTCTGAATCCTCCTATACAAAAGTTAACTACTTAGTACTTTCTAACACTAACAGAGCAGAATCCAAACAAATGTTGCAGAACCATCCGTAACCAATGCAAAATCCAAGTAGCACAGAGGGTGTGATATGATTACCACCAAGCAAGTACAAGTGTACATCAGCAAGAAATGTGTGATCAGGAAGAGATTTTAAGGCAGCATTAGTTATAGCTGACTGATCAACTGGATCACAACCAACTTCCTTCTTGCTAAGAAACTCCTTAGGCTTTATAGCAAGAGTAGGGCCTCTGGACTGAATTCTCCAAGTAATGCTATAATAAAGAATCTCATAAGTAGACTGCATCTGGCTTAAAGGGAAAGGCATCTCCTGAATATGGTTAACGTGGCACCAAAGCAAAAGGAAGATGAAAACAGTCTGGCTGAAATGGATCCATGGATTGTTGTAGTGTTCCTGTAACATAAAATGAAGACCCAGCTGAGGGTGCCTATGGATTTACACAATCCATGTTTTGTATATCTAAATAGGAGGAGTATTATCAGTATATACATGCTCTATGTACATTGCTTCACATGCAGTAGTTACGAAAAATAGACAAAGAAGGCTCAATTCATTGGGACTTCACAAAAATGGGACAGGACTTCGGACTTCATTTCATATTTCTTGGCTGAACTACCTATACTTGTGCATCCAACAGTTTAACCTAATTTCGTTCTGAGATGATAGTGATAATGTCTCATAATATTCAACCCCAATGTATGAAATATTATCCTGGGAAGTGATGACTATATTACTTGCAGTTTGAAGAATTCCAGTCCATGGCTCTCTGCAATACATGACAAAAGTTTTATGATTCAGCATTAACTGATTATAAAATTATCCCACCAGACTCAGGTTAATGCTGAACAATTAAGGATCTTCACACAATTCTTAATAGACTGCACTCTGCTCATGGTATGAAGCATCCAGATATTTACTCAGAGAGGAGAAGGTATCAGAAGTGTCCTTGGGGGAGGGTCAATAACAAAAGTAGTGTTGCACTAGGTAAGCGCCATCTCTTTTGTGCACATTTCATTACAGTGCCCCCACATATAAAAGGCACAAGGATTGTATTGTGCCATCATGACATTACTTCTATCGTTTTGATAAAACCTCTTATGCTACAGGATGCTTGTGAAAGACATCTTCAGTTAGTCTACACATATTACTTTATTTACTTGTCAGCAGGTGAAAAGGTAAAGCTAAGAAATCCAGGAAAGAGCTGGACAAGCAAGCATGTTAACAATTTATAGCAGAAACCTCTAACATGAGATAGCCAACCTAAGATCTTCAATAAAGGATTAAAATAGGGGAAATAAAAAAAGAAATATATGGAGGAGTACTTTTTTTTTAAAAAAGCTCATCCTGCTCTCATGAACAGATGTTTTTAAAAGATCAAAAAATTTCACAGAAAACACTTGTGAATGGAATGAGAACTTTTGCTCCAATTTTGGTTTGGAACATTATCGTCTTATGTTTTTCATTTAGTTCATAAATTACATAGTTAAAACTAAGCCACAAAGAAAGTGAATAAGATATACTTTTACTTTTTTATCCCCTTGCTTTCGCCTTCGGAGTCCAGGCCTGTAATCATCACCAAAGCGCAGGAAGTAATAATAAGAAACCAGCCGTTCTATAGGATCTCTTATGACATTGATGTATATTGGTTTCTTCTTAACACCAAATCTGAAACAGGAAAGATAATCCAATTGACAAATCAAAACGTTTCCTGCATGATGTAAAAGTGGATCCGGTATCAAGTTTATTTCAAAAGAGTGTTCCTCTCCCCCCATATTAATGTATTTAGGAAAAAACAATAAGCAGACAATATGTTTTCCATTTCAAGGGTCTTTTAAGAAGGTTCACAGTCGAGATAGTTTTCAAAGGAAGGTCACCAGACCTTATCTTAATACATTCCATTTTACTGGATTTTAAACATGTATATTTGATATTTACATATAGATACTCACTTTATTTTGTCTAACAAGAATTATCAGCAGAAGCCTTGTCTGCTTCCAACAGATGCAACCTTTTAAAACTATACTTTGCAACAAAGAAGATAATGCAGCTGGGATTACTATAATGACCAAATGGAGGAAAGGTATGAGGGTGAGGGAAGTGTTCAGAAATAGTTTGTGGTTTGATAAAGCCGTCCTTTTAAATAAATATTAAATAAATTTGATAAAATCCTGCCTTTTAAAAGATTGTTGCAGAAATGATAATTAAGCTTGATGAATACTGGAAGCTGGAAAAATGATAATTAGCTATATTCAACAGAGGAGAAAACCAGATAGGATTGGACTGAGCACAATAGTTTTGTTCTTTCATTGGCACCTTCTCCTAAGGAATCTATATAATGTTCTTGTGAAAATGTCTGTGTTTCTGTGTGTGCAAGCCTTTGACTCCTATAGACTGCCTGGATAAGGCCCTGCAATTTCTTGGCAAGATTGAGGGAGTAGCTTGCCACTGCCTCCCTCCTAGGGCAGGGACAGTAAGTGTCTGCTCCAAGGTCACCCAACTGTTTTTGTGCCCAAGGCAGAATTTAGTACAAAATAAAGCTTTCATCATATTGTGCATACAGGTAATCTTCTACTTACAGCCACAGTTGAACCCAGAATCTTGGTTGTTGAATGAAGTGGTCGTTAAATGAGAGGTGTGACTATTTTACTCAATTACCATAATCCTGGCCCTTCCAAATTGCAAGTGTTAAGCAACGGTACAGTCATTATGCAGAGTGCTGGACAGACAGCCCAGGTGTGGTGAGGCTGGGAGAAGGCCCATCCTCATTTTCCCACCAGGGAAAATGACTGCAAGAAGAATGGCCAAGACCTGTCTTCCATTGCCCCAGAATATAGGAAAGGTGTGTGCTAAAATGGGATATAATAAGCAGCAAGTTGGAGATTATTTTTTAACCTAAATGGTCCTTTACAATCTGTTCTGTGAAACATTGCTCGAAACTAGCTTTTGTATTGGACATTTCTAATAGAGTTCACCATTTTCCACAAGAGGTGGGGAAAGTTTTAAATGCTTTGCGGTAAGTGTAAGAGCGGCCACAAAACTGCGCAGGCCCCAAAGTGTCAAGAGCAGACCATCCAGTCATGCTTTTGCTGCTACTCTTGATTTTGTTGTATGTCTTAAGTGCTTTTACTACATTTATCATTTTCTTCATACTAGAACTTGTCGCAGGGTGTAAACGCAACAAATATATTCTAAGACTAAACCTTCTTTTGCAGCAAAGGAAAAAGAGAAGAATCAAGGTCTCTCTTGATCATGTTTCTCAATTCATATTTCTCATTCCTTGACTCAAGCGGAAGTACCAGCTCAGCTCTGCAGGTGGGAAGGCAATGCTCAGGAAAGAGGAGCAGAAGGGAAAATAATTGCTAGAATTATTCCTCCTATACTTTATATCCTCTTAGGGGAGGAACAGCCTAACATATGTTATTTTTATATTATCTATGAATGTATATAGGCAACACAAAAGAGAACAGGTTTGGCTTTCTTCAGTAGATGGCAGAGATGAATCAGCACTTCTATGAAACAGACCCAGAAGATATCAAGATCTCTTAGATTTCAAACATGATAAAATTTAAACATGAAGAGAATCCTATCAGTAAGTTAGTACTGAACAGTTATATTTCAAAGAACATGAAAGCAACAAAACTGATTTAAAAAAAAATTCTTGTACATATCAACTCATTCTCCTGTTTGATAAAATTTCTACAATATATTTTACCACAGCTGTTGCAAAACTTTTTAACTTCATTTTAATTTTGTATGAGTGCATACTGAATCAAAGTACTTGGGGAGAGTTTACTAAGGAGGATAAATAAACAGTATTCAGAGACTGTATATTTCTCCCCTCAAAGAACATCACACCATACCATATGTTACTCAAAAAGAACAAGATACTTCTCTATTATTTTAAAAACCAAAATCACAAATATAAGAAAACAAGCTATTTGTCAATGCTGAACTAAACCTGGCAGAAGCCATTTCCCTAGTTCATCATTGCTACGCATTATGGGAGGGGGAGAAGGTTGAAATGCCTTGCTAGACAGAACATAGATGTTTTTTGTGGGAACCAAGGTCATCTCCCAGGCGATGGGAAGAGGAGAGTGCCTGAGGAGCCTGCCAATTAACCTAATTGGCCAACGTGACCAATGACACTTGGGGAAGGGGTTATTGCTGGCTTTAATTATGCTAAAACTGCTGGAAAGATTCCGAGTTGGTTTTCCACTAAGTGTGCCGATATGATGTACCCAATAAAGAAGTCCTTTGAGGAAACAAGTGGCCTCCGAGTTCTACTTGCCTGGGATTGTTAGTTGGAACCTTGACACTATTTAGAGGGCAAGCACAGTCATTTAACAAACGAAAAAACTAAAGTATAAGACAGTCCTGGGGAAAATATGCTCCAAATGTAAATTGTGATATTGTTTTGTTTCTTTCTTGAATAAGGTCTTAAGTTTCAAACTATAAATAACTTATTGAATAAAGAAATACTTATATAGATGTTCAAAATGTTATTATTTCATTACATATTCAACACAGTAATTAATACAGTATGTACATTAATACAGTATGTTACACTTCTGAATTTGGAAAAACAAATTCAAAACAAATTATACTCAGGTTTCTTCTTGGAGACTGAGAGTAGGGAGCTCTTTCTTGGTATATAATATTTCAACCTTTTTCTGCCATTGTTGACTGCACTATTATGTGATACTATGTTTCATTAGTAATTACAGTAATTAATCCAGTAATTACAGGAGGGTGAGGAAACATCATCAGTATTTATTCTGGACAGATAGCTGAAAACATTGAGATATGCTAAACGTGGCTAAGTTTTTAACTAGGAATATCTTATGTTTTATATTCTATAACAATACTTTGAACAGACTTTGCTATAATTATTAGTCAATGTATATATTTATGTGTTATATTTAGGTCCCATCTTTCATAATTAGAATGTATGAATTTTACACTGATACTATGAGACACTGGTAAGTAGAGATAAGAGTAAAATCTCCAAGTCAGGCTCAAGTCCTGGCAACTTCAGCAATACCTCAATTAATTTTCTTGGCAATATCACAGAAATGTTCCTCAAGGTCTCATTCTAGTCAACAGACCTGGAGTTCTGAGTTGGAAATTACAATATATTAGGATTATTGCAAGTATTAGAAAATAATATCAACTTTTTGGAGGTTGCCATTTTTTACACAATTACCAAAATAAAACAGAGAAAACATAGGGCAGGGAACACACACACACATGGACATTTTTTCTTAACTTGCTTTAAAAGCTACCATGCTTTCAAGGTTAAGTAAAATTGAGAATCAAACAAAGACTACAAACATATAGGAGCCGTGATGACATGGTGCTTACAATGCAATATTGCAGGCTAATTCTGCCGATTGTCTGCAGCTCGATCCTGACCAGCTCAGGGTTGACTCAGATGTCCATCCTTCTGATGTTGGTAAAATGAGGACCCAGATTGTTAGGGTCAACATGCTGACATTTGTAAACAACTCAGAGAGTACTGTAAAGCACTATGGAGCAATATGTAAGTGCTGTAAGACTAAGTGCTATTGCTATTGTTATAAGCAGAAGGAGCTGAAGAAAATGTGAAAAACTATCATATTCAATACATACCCCTAGTATTCTTAAAACAAACGTTCAAACAGAAATTTCATGCACTCAAAAATAGATCATACTCAGATATTATATGCCAGTCCTATTGCTTTCTGTCTCAGACATCATCAGAGTACAGACAAGCATCTGTGGAGGGACTGGGGGTATGTGTGTCCTAAAATGATGTAAGTTGTGTTGTAACACTGCAATGCAAGCCCTGCCCTCTTTTCTATATGTGTTGCATACCAGGCACTCACTCTAAGGTGTGCAGTTTCTGGCCCAATGCTATGCTGCCTTAATCATTCTGATAAAAGCAGCAAAAACCTATGAGGTTCAAAGGAATAGCAACAATGCTTGTAATCTATTTCAACTGCTCAATACACAAGTTTCAAAGGAAACTGCTTTATACAAGATATAGCAAGAGGTTAATTAGCATATAAGTAGACATTTATTGTCTCGACTCAGAGAGTGGACTGCACATGTATTCCACCTTGTGCTATCCAAATGTATTTGGAGTGCAACTGCCAAACTTGGAGTCAGCAAGACTGTAAATTACGCTAAATGGAAAATTAAGCATTGTAGTGTCAAGACATTATAAAGAAGTAATATTTGTCAAAAGAAAGAGAATCTGATGTCATTGAACCAATACTATTACTGTCTATCCTGTAAGCTTAAACAGCTGACCATTGACTTTTAAAGAGAGGTTCTCTTCCCATAGTTGGAATGTTACAATGTACATTAAATGTACTAGCTCAAATAATAGCACAGATAATGCTACACTGAATAGAAGGCAACTTAGCAATTATATAATCATGGTGGGAAACATTTAATGTTAAAACTAACAAGTTCATTTCTATTAAAAAAAATAGCCACAAGTCTGGAGCATCTAAAATATTTCGCAACATCAGAAATCCTTTGAGGGAGAATAGGCAGTCAGTCCTAAAATTTGAGGATGGGATGACAGTTTAATACCACTTGTAAAGTAAACAAAATTCAGACTTCTGGAGAAGCTCCAATGATTGCAATGGAACAAAGAATTTGCAAACAAATTAGTGCTTCAAAATTCCTCTCCAGACAAAGGGGAGGACCTGAGATCGCCCTTAAGTGCTGTATACTGAAATTCCTTGTAAGGAAACTACAACAATGGCCACTAGCTGATTTGAGAGCTTCTGGAGCCAAAAGAAACTCAGCTTTGCCCAAGCCATGGTTGAGAGCATTCAAGTGGACACTGGTTTCACCAACTTTCTTAATCATTTCTGGAAATTGTTTATTAACTGCTTTGAGGCTATTAAGAACTTTCAGAATGACAAGTTTCAATATTGGACCTGGTGTTTCTCCTTCAGTCCACAGGGAAAGAAGTTTCAATTCTGAATAAATTGTTTTGAAATAAACAGCAAAAAAGTAGTTAGAACATTGATTTTAGAAAGTTACTAAGGGGCCAGATGGATTGAAAATGAGATTTTGAAATTATAAGAATCCTTTTTGTGTTTAAAATCCAATTAAAATATATAGGAAGATATAGAATATATATGGGAAGAAGAGATTTGTTGTTGCATTTTTAGAGAAAATAAGTTACTATGTAAAAAGGAAAAAGAGGAATATGAAACTTATTTACTTACTTAAGGTTAAATATATACCTTCTTACGGTATTTCTGATAAATTTTAATGGACTTTTACTGATTAGGAGTGAATGATGATGCTTTATAACTTGGTTACTGTCTTAAGATAGGAGAAGAGAGATCCTTTGTTGGAATGTTAGAGAAAATAAGTTATTAAAATCATTTTTAGTTGTCTTTATATTAGGAATATATACACATGCGTGCGCGTGCACGCACATACATATACACACACATTCAAGATTTAACTATCAGGAAAATAATTTCTCTGAATTAATTTCTCTGACTATTCAGACAAGATACATTTTTGTCCCCAAAATCTGAACAAGGCAAGGATATGTTAAGAAAATGAAAGAGGAGATTGAGGCAGAGAGAAATAAAACTGGAAGGAGAAAACCGGTATTTGCAATTCTCTATATATTGCAATTTCTGATCTTGACCATAAGAGGGCAGTACAAACTAAAGTGAATCATGAACTGGAGTTACCTTATGAAAATTTCAAATGATAAAGAATGATTCAAGTTCAAATTGGTGCAAATTGAATTATTTGTTGTGTAGCTTACTTTGCAAAATCCAAGAAAGATATATGTCCATGATAAAATCCTGGTTTCATTTCTTTCCATGAAGTTATGTTCTTCACAAAACGTACCTACAAGAAAAAGGAAGATTTTTAAATGTTTTACAAAACAAAACACAAGAGTTTATGTATTTATGTTATGTATGTTATGCAGTGGTGGGATTAAAAATTCTTTACTACCAGTTCTGTAAGCATGGCTTGGTGGGCGTGGCAGGGAAAGGATACTGCAAAATCTCCTACTACTCAAAATTTCTGCTACCAGTTCTCCAGAACTGGTCAGAACCTGTTGAATACCACCTCTGATGTTATGTATGTATGTATGTAGTATTCATTAAAAAAATTATTCTATTTTATATCCTCCAGTAATTACAGGAGGATGAGGCAACATTATCAGTATTTATTATGGTCAGATAGCTGAAAACATTGAGATATGCTAAACGTGGCTAAGTTTTTAACTAGGAATATCTTACGTTTTATATTCTATAACAATACTTTGAACAGACTTTGCTATAATTATTAGTCAATGTATATATTTATGTGTTATATTTAGGTCCCATCTTTCATAATTAGAATGTATGAATTTTACACTGATACTATGAGACACTGGTAAGTAGAGATAAGAGTAAAATCTCCAAGTCAGGCTCAAGTCCTGGCAACTTCAGCAATACCTCAATTAATTTTCTTGGCAATATCACAGAAATGTTCCTCAAGGTCTCATTCTAGTCAACAGACCTGGAGTTCTGAGTTGGAAATTACAATATATTAGGATTATTGCAAGTATTAGAAAATGGTGTTTTAAAAACAATATATTAGGATTATTGCACGTATTAGAAAATGGTGTTTTTAAAAGTTTGCTAGTATAAACAAAGGATCCGTCCTTAAAGCATTGAAGAAGCTAGATCCTTAGGACAGCTTACATGGCTGCTTGAATCTGTCCCTACTATCCGCACAGAGGCCCTTCATTTTGAAGAAGCTACATGAGTTTGCACACAAGTACATAATTTGGAAAGCAACAGTGAAACTTGGACAAAAATTGATAAACATGAAAATCAGTATCTGTAAATAATCTAATCTTGTACTTTCAGAAGTTGAAACTGTAATGGGAAAAAAATAAGATAAAGCAGACATATCTATGTTATTCTCATAATTTATCAAGATAATGATATTTCTAGAACAACATTCCTAACGCAGTGCTCATGGTTGCTGGAATTTCTCAAGAGTTGTCTGGCAAATTGACTAGCTATTACCAAGAGAATACCAAACATCTGAAGTAAGCTGCATCTTGACCTTTTGAGGAGATTGCTTTAGTCAATACACATAGACACAATTGTCAAGTCAATATAAAATGGGGACTATTTCAACTGTAGAATGTTTATTTCATTCCAATAATAAATTCAAGTGCCAATTCCCAACATTTTTAACAAAAAAATCAGCTACAGACTTGCTCAGCAGAATTGCAAAGTTTGAAAAAATACCCCCCAAAATGATCATAAAATTCTAGGGATAAAACCCATATCTAGCACAATGAGAATTAAGCACACTCAATAATAACAGAACATAGATATCAGAGGAGAGAGAGAGAGAGACAGAGAAAAATAAAATAATAAAACAGGTAGGATGATTTTTAAAAAGTTGAATCCTAGCTCCCCAACATCCTGATTAAGGAAATATTCTCTGCCATTTGTGATTTTCTTAAAGAGGCAGAAATTTAGCAGCCATTTAAATGCAAATTTGATTCTGTTTTGGCATAGTAGCAATAGCTATGTCTCTATGCATATAGCTGTGTTTCTATGCTATGGCAAACGTGACAGAAATATATGATAAAGAAACCAAATTTAATTACCCTCTACAACGTTGCAAACTCTGATATAACATCAAATGTATCCTACAAAGTATAGATAACTGAGGTATAACAGGCCATTTAATGAACACTCGGAGTTACAACCACCTACAAAAAAATCTAAATACAAATCCTTTCAAAGTTACAACTTCCCCTGCAATGCTGCCATGGCCATTCACCTTTCAGACCGACAACAGAGACACTGCAATGTACCTATCACCCTCTTGTCCTGCCCCATCAGGCCTTCGGGGGCATTGGGCTTTCCCAACCATACCTCACCCACCTACCTCGTCACCATTTGCTTACTTATCTTTTGAGAGCTCAGGAAGTCAGAGAAGGCCACTCCCTTGCTGGGCCCATAGCTGGGTCATATGGCATAATTCAAAAGAAATCCTGTTTTACGCTAGCGTGACTTGAGTTCGGGGAGTTAAGAAGGATTCATACCAATTTTGATCCATTGCCATCCTTACCTCCCTGAATGCCAGCATAAGGCCTTACACTAGGATGGCTGGCATTTGGAGAACTAAGAAGAAATATTGCTGATTTTGGTCCATTCTGGTCCTTTCCTCCTCAATCAGCATAACACTAGCCCTATGCTGGAGTTTGGGGAGCTAAGAAGAAATCATGTTGATTTATGCTGGCTGGGGAGGAAAAGATTGCAACACACCAAAATCGGCACAATTTCTTCTTAGCTCCCCGAAAGTCAGTCATGCAACTGTTAAGGCTTTATGCTGGCATTCGAGGAGCTGAAGAAATAGTGCCAATTTACGCCGGCTGGGGAAGAAAGGATTACAAGAGACCAAAATCGTCATGATTACCTAATTCCCCAAACGCCAGCCACGCTAGCGTAAAGCTAGCATGGCTGGCACTGGGGAGGAAAGGATTGTGAGGGAAGCAAAACCAGGAGGATTTCTTCTCAATTGTGCCATGTGGCCCAGCAATTGCTCAGCAAGGGAGTGGCCTTCTCTACTCCAACTTACTGAGCTCCAAGTATCTTCAAAAGGAAGTGTGCAGTTGGGACGGAGTAGCGTATGGAGGAGGGCCGTAGGTCTTTGGGGAACCCAAGGGGTAGGAGGCAGACCATGGGATACCTCAGAGGTTGGGCCTCCCCAATGTGTGGGTGCCTGCACTAAGCCTCCCATGGTTTCCCCCACCCCCGAGTCACCCCATGGTCTAGCTAATGATCTGTGCATTGGAGAAAGCAAGGACAGGGAGATTATTAACTATGCACTTCATTTAACGTAGACCTCAATGTCCAACATGAATGGGCAGGCTCCATTACTGTCATAAGTCGAGGACTACCTCTAGCCATCTGCTACAAAAATACAATAAAAATAAAAAAAAGCCTCAATAGAATTCTTCATTCCATGGGCTTCTGCAAATAATTCAAAGCTTACTATACAAGTTGAATATATATTTTAATGTTGCTATAAAAAATAAATGAAGTTGTTAGAAATATATTTGCCATGGATCCAATCTCCAGCTCTAAAGGACTCCTCTAGTTTATTGCAAAGATATAATCTGGATGTTTATTCTCAGTGTTTGAGTGAACCGTCAGTGTAGTGCATCAGATATATATATTTTTAAAAAATTAAATACTGTCACACATCTCTTAAATTTAACTACACAGCTTATATTTATTAGAATTATAGTTTCTTGAATGTCTTAAATATGAATTAAACAATATGGGCTACAATAGGCATACTGGGTAGTGAAAACCTATCCTACAGCTGACCTATAAGATTTAGACATAGCGATGATACTCCAAACATTCCAAAATCTGACAAGCTAGATAAATATGAAAATACTAATCAAATCTCAAGCTCCAACAGTTCCCAGATCCTGCCAATTATTATTACTTCAGTTTCAATAGACTCACGCAGTACCAGTTCCCAAGCAATCCAGGCAGTTTCAGTACAAAGACCATGAATACTAATATGTGACTTTTTAAAAAAAGATTATGCTATGTTTTTATTCAAATCTTGACCTCATCCAGTACCTGCATGTTGAATGAAAAACCCCAGGAAAGTAAACTGCAACAAGTATTAAACTGCCCATTCAACATTCTTAATACCTTTTCTAGAGAAAATCTATGATCATAATAGCAGGTAAATATAAAAGAAGACCAGATTCTGAAGATGAAACTCAAATACTTTGGCCACCTAATGAGAAGGAAGGACTCACTGGAGAAGAGCCTAATGCTGGGAAAGATTGACGGCAAAAGAAGAAGGGAACGACAGACAATGAAGTAGCTGGATGGAGTCACTGAAGCAGTAGGTGTGAGCTTAAAAGGACTTCGGAGAATGGTAGAGGACAGGAAGGCCTGGAGGAACATTGTTCATGGGGTCACGATGGGTTAGACACGACTTCACAACTAACAACAACGAAAGACCTTACCTATAGGCCTTTTTTATACTAGTATTTTTGTCTACTGTCTTGCAGTAGAAAGTAACTGAAGTAACAATTAAGGTATGTTGATATCACTATATTTGATGCCAAAGCCTTTCACGAATAGAGCATATTCATTTCTCATCAATTATTTAGGATCATATGCAACTCTGCAAGTATTTTCACCGCTACTTCTCTTTCATATTGTTACAAAAGTTATCACGCACATACATATATACATATGTTTGGGTTTTGTTTTGGAGGAGTATTTGAACTGGAGACTTTTTTCTAAAATTTTATTTAGGAAGGTCAAAAAACCTGAAAGGATTTCTGCAGAACATTTTTTCCTGATGCTTAAAAAGAAAGTACTCGAAAGTCATTTTTGAATTTCTGGCATATTCAAACTGTTTTACATTTTCAACTCAAATGATTTTTTTTAGAAGTGAAAGATAAAATAAATGTATCTTGACAGAGAAAAGGTCAGAAATCCTACAGGGAAAAAAGTGAAAATTGGGAGCTTCAAAAATTCTCTGAGGTACAAAGAATCACATATGCTCAGAAAAATATAAGAGAATAAAATAGATTACAAATTTCAAAATTGCTGATGAATATGATAAAGAACAAGTGCAACATTTTACTTTAATGATGTATGATTTCATTACACATGCATATTGAGATTTGAGCAAAATTTGTCGCCAACCTGGTTTTCTGGAGAACTGCTCAGGTTCCCAGGTGTGCAATACATATTTAAGAAAAAAACAGTAATTCAACTTATTTCTGGGAACATGTAACTTGCCTTAATAAAATCCTTCTTGATCAGCCATAAGTCAGATAATCCTTTTTTGCTACCCTTGATAGCACATAAAGGGACATCATATGGTTAGCATTATTAAGCCAATTATTCTTCTAGAATTTTGAAAAAGAAGGCCGAAGGGTAATAAGACTGACTAAGAGAGAAGATGGAAAATGATCTGAATATGAATCAGTGGATTCTATCAAGAGGTTTGTATGGAAAAAAAGATATGACCCAGTTATGATTAAATGATGGAAATAAAGGTTTAAGCCACTAAAAATGGCAAGAATTTGTATCTGATATGAAAAGGAAAGAATGACCAACTGATATAGAAAATACAGAAGGAAAAGAAGAAAACTTAATTCTGTTTTAAACAGTGAGAGAATGCCCTAATTTACCACACAACAAATACTTCTTTAACCATATATCATACCTACCTTTGCCTTTATTCAAATTGAAATTCAATGAAATTAAAATTTAAGATAAATCAGATATGAAAACTTCCACTCTAATTCTAAGTCAGAATTTTATTAGAACCTATATTTTGTTGTTCTCCATTGGGAATGAGACATCACCTCACACACAATATTGTATGATTGATAGAGAAAAATTGTAAGTAAGATTAATGAGCAATGCAGAATGTAATATCTTAACTACGGTAACTTACCTGATCTTGTAGAGACATAACCGGATTGTTTTTGGTTGTGTTGATATGAAGAACATGATACTTATTCTTCGCACAAAGATCATATGCAATGTTTGTGAAAGATGTACTTGCAGTTTTAGGTACTCGATTGTAAATGATCACTACATCATCATCTTCATCTGGGATAAGATCTGATCGAGAGCCATCTACTGTATGGCGCTGCTCTATTTCCCGAACTTCATGTTTTGCAATAGCCCTTTCTGTCAAAACAAAGCACACAACAAAACAAATGCATTTTTAACTTTTCCATTTATATATTAGACCAATTTAATTTCAATTTGCTTTTACTAAGAGATGGATCATATGGCTAAGTGACTTTGGTTAAACTATGACTAAATAGGAGCATCTTAAACATCCTAAATTTGTAGCTATACCTTAAATGAATGGCATTTTTTCTAAAATGAAGGAGCTGCATGCCATCAAAACCTGAATGGAAAATGAGTGAGTGACTCGTTTCTTGGTTACATTAGTGATTATGGTACATTGTATATTCTTATATATTTTATTATTTGCATTATTGTAATTATTTTTAATTTTATTTCTAATTTTGTTCACCACCTAGAGTCACTTGTTGAGGTGGATAGCCATACAAATAAATAAAATAAACTACAGGAAGGGAAACCCATCAGATACATTAAAGATTGCAGGGTTATGGCTAGTCTTAATCATAGTTAATGCTAGAAATAATTAAATTTATGCATATATGATCATAATTTGAACCAAAACTACTATTCAGGGTTAACAAGAATAAGAAAAAAGATCACACACTAAGACTTTTTTCACATATATCCTACAAATAACGACTATAAAATATCCAACACTTTGCAAAGGCAGACAGTTGAAAAGATACTGCACATAATATGAATTTTACAAAACATTAGCCGCTGACGATTTTGGATTTAGTCAATTAATTGAAAAAGGAAAGTGAAATTTAGATAAAATGAATCCTCTGCTTATTTTAATTAAACCTTGTCCCTCGTGTATGATATTACAATGACTGGCTTTGCAAAATCCAATTAGATATTAATTGCACGTCTGATAAGAAAAGAAGTAGAAGCACTTTATAACAATATAATCATTAAAGATGCAAAGTTTCCATCCTGAGTACAAAAATACAAGCCACAAAAAAACAAAAGGAGTTAATGAAGCAAGTAGAAAACCTGAAATGGACATCCCAGAAACTGGGACACTGTAGTTTGGTGTTAATTTTTTTTTTCCAATATCTTTCCAAGTAATTGCTAAATGAATTTATGTCAAAACATAGCGAGTACTATAATCCAAATGAAAGTACCTTTTTTATATATAGATGGGGGTCACGATGACTCGAAGTTAGGACACGGAGTCAAAAGACCATTGAGAGGTTGACAACTCAGCAGTTCAAACCCGAAAGTGGGCTGCATGACCGAATGAGCTCCTATCAATTTACCCCATCTCCTGCCCATCTAGCAGTTTGAAAGCATGCAAATACAACTAGATAAACAGATACCACTTAGTACCTACCTTATTTTGGTGGGAAAATAACAGGGACATGAAAGGAACCCCCTCGGGCATCCCCTGGGCAACTGTGATATCACCAGATAATCCTTTCAAATCGGAAGTGCCTTGGTAGCTGTTTCCAACACAAATGTAGTAGTAGTATATATGGATTCCTGTCACTCCTAGCTGCCCTGAAGGCAAACTGCCTAGCCAGCTGGTAGTTCGTCAACTATCAACCCAACAAAGTTTAATAAATATACTCTTTGCAGAATGACTATAGTAATCCTCACTGAAATTTCTTAAACTAATCAAGAAGATAGAATCCCAATTCTATGGATAGGCATGATACACACTGTCTTTGTAATGTGAGAGTGTGGAGAGAATATTGGGATTTTTTAGCAGGAATTCTAGAATTTCATGTACATAGAAAAAAAATACGGGGTGTGGGGGTGGGTGGGATAAAGACAAGGAGATTAAAATGGCCAGAAGAAAAGCAAGAAGAAGAAATGCTCTGCAATCAATAAGCTGAGATCTCTGGTAAAAATATATATTTGTTTGGCAGCAGTTTGTCTGTTGGGAACAGAGAAACATGAGGGCAAGAAAATGGATGGCACTATCCATGTCTTGCATCCTAAGTCCTGTGCCATCAACATCTGCATTCCCCATTTGGAGAAGAGTGCTTTAAAAAGAGGAGAGAAAAAATGGTTCCACTGCCTGAATACAGAGCATGCTCACAGCTAGCACACAAAGTAGGAATAATATAAAGTATTCTGTTTCTATATTTGCTTTCTGTAACACATATAGCCTTGGGACATACAAGCGAACAAAAAAACCCACATCATCTGAGCAACAAAAATCCTTTTCTGAAAATAAGAAAAAAAAGCAAGTAAAATATGTAATGAAATGTTCAGTCACATTAAAACAGGCGGCAGATACAAAATATATATTTTTACAAAAGCTGCCTTTTACAGATACATTTTTAAAAATGGTGATCTGGGTCATTTTTCTCAGTTCACTAGTCTCTTTCTTTTTTCCTTCCTTCCTTCAAGTTGTTCCCTTGTTTGTGCTTGCATTACATGCAAATTATTTCATTGACCCAGTTGTGAAGGATTCTTGTTGTTCTTAGTTCAGTGGTACTGAAGGATGGCAGATTCTTAACATTTTGCATCTAAAAGCTACTGGGAGAAGAAAGATAGATACTAAAATAATAAAAAAGGAACTAAAGAGAAGTAAAACAGTCTGTTGTATCTACACACATGTGAAAAAGTAAGTACACCCCATTAAAATGTTTCACTTTTTCAACCTATTTTAACATGTAAATATCTGTTCTTCATTTCAACAATATTGATAAAGGGAATACAGTACTGTATAATATAAATATCGTGCCATTTACATTTTATAGTCCATTGTGTAATTTAAATAAATACTAATGCAAATTTCACACATGGAAAAAGGATATCCCTACATTTCTCACTACCTCAAATACCTAAAATTAGAATCAGGTGCACCAGATGATTAGAACAATGTTAGAATGGATCTGAGAAACTGTCCTTAAACCTCAAACATTTAGCTTGATCTGCTCTTTGTTGTTGAAGGGTGTGATATCATACCATGCCTAGATCAAAAGAGCTTTCTGAGGCCTTCACCAACAGATATCTCTGAATCTGTGAAGGAATTTTAAAGGATTGTCAAACAACATCAATCATTCCAACTGTCCAGAAGATTATCTACAAATGAAGTAGATTTCAAACAACTGCCAACTTGTTCAGGCCAGGAAGTCCTAGCAAGGCAGCAGAATGCAAGATGCTGAAAAACTCTTTTAAGATGCCGAGAATTTCAGCACATGACCTACATGTAACTCCCAACACTACTGGTGTCAAAAGGCGTCGGTCAACTGTTAGAAATCAGCTGCATAAATTATTTTCATGGGATGTGTTTAGGAAACATTTCCTGTTCAGACAGAATATCAGGCAAATTATAATGTCTGCTCATGAAGACTTTGATTTCTAGAACAACATCCCCTGGAAAGACAAGGCAAAGGCAAGGTTATTTGGACACAATATTCGAAGATGTATTTGTTGAGACTCAAAGCAGCATTTCATCAGAAGAAACTGATACCAATTGTAAAACATGGTAATGAAATGTAATGGTTTGGGGTTACTTTGCTGTATCAGGGCCAGGCAGCTCACCATTATAGAATCCATTATGAATTTTTCATTGTAACAGAGAATGCTTAAGGATAATGTGAGACCATCCATCAGAAGACTGAAAGTCAAACAAAAGTGGGCCTTGCAACACAAGAGTGACCCTAAATATTTCAATAAATCCACCGAAGAATGACTTGGGGGGGGGGGGAGAAATGGAGGGTTCTGGAATGGGCATATCAAAGTTTGGGTTTAAATCCCATTGAGATGCTGTAGGAAAATCTGAATTGGGCTGAACATACAAGAAACCCCTCAAATATCACACAGCTGAAAAAAATGTGATATGGAAGAGTGGGAATAAATTATCCCAGCCAATGCTGGAAACTGGTAGATACTTATAAAAATGTCTACTTAAGATTGTTTCTGACAAAAAGAGCAATACCAGGTATTTACAGCCAAGAGTATATTTACTTTGCATGGAAGGAAATCACATATCTGTTAACTTTTTGTTGAATAAACAGTTGTGTGTGTAATTTTCCCCAAGGAAAAGTTTTTACAGGGGATGTATTTACTTTCTCACATGACTATATTCAGTCAGCAGCCCAACACAAGTTTTTAAAACCATTCTTCTTATGGGAAAAAAAGGAAAGAAAACTGATAAATCAGACAAGTTGAAGTTAACAAATCTAATTAAAAATCATCTGTATACATTGTTACCTATTCCATATACATTGTTACCTATTCCCTTAAGGTAAGCCTGTTTTCAGCACATGCTAGGAGCTACTCTTCATTACAGGATTTATCAATATCTGAATATGGAATATTCAGATTAACAGAATAAGTTTTTTTCATACCAATTCAAACACAATAATTAAAACTATGTCTCGGGAATCTTGATATTCCCAAGCAAAGATAGAAGATGCCACTGGTTTGATTATTTTTAAACGATTCTTATAACCTTGACATAAATAACTGCTGAACCCCTAAGAGAGACAGTTAACATGCTGACCCAGAAGTAAGGAAATATGAGTTGTGTTCCTGCCTTGGGAAGGGATCCCAGAGAGATCTTTTTGAGTCCTTGGAAGATGAGGCAGTGGCAAGTCAACCCTGAACTGAAACCACTTGTCATTGGCATTTTGTTTGTGTGTGTTTTGCTTTGTCTGTCGACCTTAGCAACTGCTTACTTAGATCACTTCTGCCATCTGAACAGTGACACTGATATCTGGCTTTCACACTTCAGTGTCTCCAGCTGGCTGCACGTTATCCAACTGTGTTCTTGTTAGCCACCCAATAGACTGATTATAGACTGGTACCTAGCCTGATGATGAGTTAATCTGATTCAAATCCTTCTTCACTTTGGCAGAATATGTAAGCGTCAAAAGGCTTCCCACTCTCTTTTTCATGCTTGCTGCCTTATCTGCGGTGTATAATTAATTGCACCATGGTAAGGCATCAGAGCTCCACAGCAATAGCACTTAGACTTATATACCACTGCATAGTGCTTTACAGCTCTCTCTAAGCCGGGGACCTCAGGGACCACCAAACTCATACTTTTAAATCCTGAGGACCACTAATATGAA